GTGCTGGAACATAATAGTGCAAAAGTAACTGTGACAGTGACATGAACTATGTCATATTTTGAATTATGACATAATTTCATAGTTCAAGCTTCTTTAGGAAGTGACTATGATCAGCAAAGATATCCTAAATGTGGCAGGTGTAGGTTGAACAAGAAACGTGATTATTAATTTTTTATAAAGAAACTTCTTTTCAAATGTAGCAGACCATATGGGAATACTGTAATCTATATCATGGTTTAATTGTGTGCCTTTGTGGGTCTGATAGACTTAATCCCTTATACTTCCCAAGTGACATCAGCCTAGCACTCACTCATTTTTAACGAGGCAGAGAAACTTCCTGTTAAAACGTATCTAGAATTTCTACACTTATTGTGAGCTCAGTGGTTATATGCATGATATCTTCTTAAAAAAACATTGTTGCGTTTGAGGAAGTTCCTTATGTCTTCCCATATGTACAACATACTGTACATTCTTGCATGTAACAGTATGTTGCACCCCTATAGTTATGCGAAAAAGAAAGTAAACCACCTTTCCGTTCTAAGGTTTAATCTATTTAAAAAGCAAGGAAAATGCAGAAGCAGTGTATGATATGTAAAACTTTGGAATTGAAAGAGGAGTCAGCTTTATCTGAACAAACTACTTCTCTCAGCAGCCGGTTGAGTTGTGGCTTTTTTCTACACGTACCTTCCAATTGCTTCAATGATCAGGGTTTGGAGTTTGAGGCAAACTTCCATTCAACTTCTAATATTTACTGTGGCAAGCTCCTTTGAGCGCTCAGTAAGGAAGACCCATCATGGATTGATGATACCATTCTTGAGTTTAGGGTTCTGAGCTGTGAAAAAGGTTTAGGCATTCAGGGTAGCAATGTCAAGTTGTACCACAGCTATGTTTTACACTTGTAGGTGCCAACCATCTAGTCCAGGGGTGTGAACTCCAGGCCTCGAGGACCGGTGTCCCGCAGGTTTTAGATATCACCCTGTTTCAACACACCTGAATCAAATGATTAGTTCGTTACCAGGCTTCCGGAGAACTTCTGTCATGGTCCTGGGTCGTGTGACCCAGTGTGTTATGTTT